CCCCTGACTCCAAACCTCTCCCTTCGCTCCAAATCCTCCCCCTCACCTCCCCGTATTGGCCCTCCCTCCCGTGCCTTCTCCCTCCTCCCACGCCGCGCTGCGTGCCGCGGGCGGGCGGTGCGGGGCTGGCGGGGCGCGATGGGCGGCGGGGCGCGGGAGCTGTGCGGGTACCTGGCGGCGCTGGCCGGGTGGGTGTCGGCGCTGGCGGCCGCGGTGCTGCCGCAGTGGCGGCAGAGCTCGTACGCCGGGGACGCCATCATCACGGCCGTGGGGCTCCACGAGGGGCTGTGGATGAGCTGCGCCGCCCAGAGCACCGGGCAGGTCCAGTGCCGCCTGCACGACTCGCTGCTCTCGCTCGACGGTGGGTACCGCGCTCCCTTCCCTGGCTTCGTTCCACCCCACCCCGCCCCGAGCTCCCCTGGGGTCCTGAGCACCTTGAGGCGCAAGAACCGTCTCTGAGCTCCCCTGGGTTAATCTTGAGCTGCCCTTGCCCCCTTGCCGCTGCGGGTCTGAGCCCTGCTGTGGGTTTGACAGCCCCTCTATGGCTCTGAACCCCTCTGTATGTTTGAACTGATATGGGTTTGAAACCCCAACACCCACACCAGGTCTCTGCCCTCTCGGTGTCTGGGTGCCCCCTTGCCGTGGTTTTGGCAGCCCCTCTATGGCTCTAAGCCCCCTCTCTGTGTTTGAACCCACCTGTTTGGGTTTGTACCCTCTCAGTGTCTGGGTGCCCCCTTCCCCCTCCGTGGGTCTGAGCTCCCCCTGGCCCCTCCAGAGTCTTCTGGTGGTCCAAACCCTTCTTGCCCCCCCTCGCCCCGTCCTAGGTGGGAGCCCCTCTAATGTGCCTCTGACTCCCCTCAGAAGGGTCTGAGCCCACTTCACCCATCCTCTAAGCCTCTGATGTGGGTCCAGCTTTCCCCCCCTCCATGAACCTGAGCTCCCCACACCAGGGCTGAGCCTCTCTTGGTCCTGTGGGTTCAGGCCCCTTTGTGTGGCTGGGATACCCCCTGGCCCCGGTGGGTTTGAGCTCCAGGGTGGCCATCACATCTGGGGACCAACAGTGCCCCGTGGGGACACCACAACCTCCCCTGCCCTGCACCCCCAGGCTGTGGATCACCCTTGTGGTATTTGGGGACTGTGGTGCTGCTCAGGGCAAGGTGTTTTCCAGCTCAGACAATCACGAGGAGGATGAGTGTGGCAGGGGGAGAGAGTCAGGGAAGGTGCTGGGGGTGGTGGTGCCCTGAGCTGAGCTCAGGTCTCTGCACCTGCCAGGTGGGGAAAGAGGTGACATGGGAGTCACACAGTGAGGACAGGGTTAAGGACACATCCATCCCCAGCGTGGGAGGAGGTGACCTTGCTCCCAGTGCCCGGCAGTGGCCAAAGCCACCTGCTGGGAGCAGCTTTTCTCCCTTCCCTTGCAGTTCACATCCAGACGTCCCGGGCTCTCATGGTCATTTCCCTCCTCCTGGGCTTCTTCGGCATCATCGTGAGCGTGGTGGGCATGAAATGCACTAAGGTTGGGGAGGAGGATCCTGTCACCAAAAGCCGCATAGCCGTTGCTGGAGGTGTCCTCTTCATCCTCTCTGGTAAGGCAGCTCCAGCCCTGGCACCTCACCGGTGCAGGAATCCCCAAACCCCTCTGAACGCTGTTTGTCCGAGCGTTCAGTGAGGGCTGCGTGTCGCTGAGGGTCAGCCTTTGATGTCTGGTGGGGGCTAGACTAGGTGACCTTTAGAGGCCCCTCCCAACCCAAACCATTCCCCGATTCCCTGGTTCCGTGCCCAGGTCTGTGCTCGCTGGCTGCCGTGTCCTTGTACGCCACGCAGGTGACCTACGAGTTCTTCAGGGAGAGCGCCGTCCCCATCAATGCCAGGTAAGAGCCTGGCTCTGGGGGTGCTCTCCACCTGCACCCCATCTTGCCCCTGCACTTCCCACTGGACCTTCTTCCCTTGCTGCTGCTGGCAAGGCCGATGTGCCCCGTGGGAGGGACCTCTGCCACCCCTCCCCGCCACCTTGCAGATGTCCCCGAGGCTAAAGCTTTGGTTGTTGTCACCCGGGACAGGGTTAATGGTGCACACGGGGGAGTTTCGGCCCAAGGGAGGGTTAAAGGATTGGGAAATGCAGGAGCATCGTGAAAGACGGGGATGGAGAGGGAAGAACCAAAATCTGCCTGGGTCGCCTCCATCAGGGCTTCAAAGCCTTCCTGTTGCCCATCTCAATTTGGGCCTTTCTGCCCCCATCCCTGATGCTCCCCCACCCCGTTTCTCCACAGGTACGAATTTGGCTCTGCCCTCTTCGTTGGCTGGGGGGCCGCCGGCCTCTCCATGCTGGGGGGGTCCCTCCTGTGCTGCTCCTGCCCTGCCAAGGAGCGCCGAGCGCAGCAGTACCTGCGGCAGACACAGCCCTCCACGTCCCGGGAGTACGTCTGAGCCCTCACCCCGCCCTCCCAGCCTCCCTCCTCTCTCCTCCCCAAAAACAGCCGCCGCCCCCACCTGGTCCCCCTGGATGCTCCACGAGACCTTCCTCCTCCTCACCTTCCAGGTTTCAGCCTCTAAAAATAGAGGGGTTTTGAGGGTCGCAGCTCCACTGCCAGGGTCCCCTCGGGTGGGCAGGGTGGCATCCTCAGTCCCCTGGGGTTGCTGGGCTGTGTCCCTCAGTCCCAGGGATGCTGCAGGGGCGATGGGGGCGGTGAGGGGGAGGCTGATGCCGGCGCCACAGGGGCACAAAGCCGACCCCGTGGGGATGTGCTGCACAGGAGCACTTTGTGCCATGACCACCCCTCTGCCACACCCTGTTTTCGGGAGCACGTGGGGAGCGAAGCCAGTGCTCGGTTTTCCTGAGGTGAGGTTTCCACCTCCAACAGC